TGTTTTCAACGCGTTTGCAATACGAGTTGCAATTGTTACTTAAAACTATATTACTATATTTAATTACAAATATATTTCTAAATTAATTTTGACCGTTTGTCGTAGAGTATAACACGTATACAATTCTGTATGGGTGAGACAATCAACATGTCGAATGTTTCCGGTTATTAACAGTTTGAATGATTCTTGTAGAAAACTAATTATGCAAATTTAATGCTTGAAGGGCTGTTTAGAAATCGTTTGAAGTCATATCCTGATGGCACTTTGTAGATTGTACAAATGTACCATAGAGGTCTACAGTTGACACATGTTAAGATCTGTTCATACTGATGTGGAGAGAGAGAGAGAGAGAGAGAGAGAGAGAGAGAGAGAGAGAGAGAGAGAGAGAGAGAGAGAGAGAGAGAGAGAGAGAGAGAGAGAGAGAGAGAGAGAGAGAGGGAGGGAGAGAGATATATATGTAACTAACACTGAAGACAATTATGTACATACACACTAAATACTGATATTCAATGATGTACTGAATTAAAAAAAAGCATTGAAAAGGTTTTTACTCGATGTTGTCTAGCCAACTATGCACATTAGCTTGTTCATGTAATAAATTATAATATTCTTTAAAGCATAGCAAATATGAAACTGTTTACTCTATATAATCTCAAATGGGTAATGATTTAATATTACATTTATGAAACTCATTGAATAATGTCCAGGTTTTGCTCGCCTTTTTATCACATAATATTTATTTCAGTGGAAATTATTTAGATGGAAAAAAAAAAACAAATAATTTCGTTCATTCTGTCAGACGTTGCACCTTTCATTTGTTGTGCTTAAAAAGTAGTTCTATCCAAAGTTGAACTAATATTAACATTTAAAAGTAGATTATATTTTTCTTACAAGCTATAAATCAAAGAAAAAGCGTCCTTCCTAATAAACAGAATATTTTACATACACAAAATCATTTTTCAACACAGAATATTCAATGTGTGTGATTTCGTATTGTTTGATGCACTACCCGTACGGTTGACGATCCTTGTTTACATAACCTTCAAATATCACTTTCACGGCTAAATATTTATTGATATTGCGATATTAATGGGAAAGAAGGTTTACTTGTTGAAGAAATTCCCATATTTACTGAAATTTATTTGGGATCGGATATTATCAGTGTTTGATTTGGAACAGTAGACTACAGAATGTGCGAACAAATTTCATTTTGACTTGGAAATGCATCACATATTTACAGTGTAAATATGCAGTGGTTGGACAATCTTATGTCAGTTTTGAGACCGGTTTATATTCACATTCTTCTATAAACAGAGGCGAGTTTATTTACTTCTGTAACTTATTATTTAAACCACGCTAGTAAGTAAGGAGTATTTCATGCTACAGATATACAACTTCCCTCAACCCTCACCACACACAAGCGATACCCATAGTTTTACTTGTTATTGTTTTTGTCTTGTTGTCTTAGCCATTTTTCAGGTTATAATATGTTATTAATAGCTTAAAAAGGCCCAACAGCGGGTAAATTAACCATACATAAGCAGACGAGACCATATTTCCCAATCCCTTTTCGCGAGTTGATTCGAAAAATGGCGACCAAAAACGTTCATTGAAAACAAAATATTACAGAAGGTGGGATTAAAAAAGTTTTCCATGATCTCAGCCAATCAATAAAGAAAATACTGTGCAATAATTTCATGGGCTTATTTGGACGAATCACACTCACATGCAGTGATATTGTAATGCGTGGTAATATCAAAACTAAGAAACTGCACATATTATAAGAAAACCATACCTACTACGTGATAAGAACACATATGAAACTGCTTTGTTCTTTTAATGAAATTGTTAATCTATATACTGACGTCATGAAGTCATGGTACTATGCCATATATAAACGAAACACGCATCTCAAAAATTGTGATGTTCACAAAGACATGAATATTTGAGAAGATATCGTCCAGAAACGGATGGAAAAGCAGTATGCTGTCATTCACATAGTAAACATGTCTTTAATACATGTTTGAAATGAGTCGAGTAAACAATATTAACATTTGCAGTAAAATCTGATCCTTCCTAATTTGGCGTCTGAACAAATTTTTACGCGGTTCTACATAACAATTGGAAGGAAAAATGTAATATTATGCATGGTCTGTATTATCACCACAAACAGAAAATGAGTTATCTTTCAGACGATCAGCATATAAATCATTAGGTAAACTAGTACACTTATTTCATATTCAAGGATGCAGAACAGATAATAATTTCCCGTGGCAAAATCAAATAATGGGTAAATACTTAAGTTGTCTTGGTCTTTATTTTTGTCTTAGGCAGACAGAATAGTTACCTAACTATTAAATCTGGGGGTGAGAAAGAATTTCAGCTTATTACGAATCTTATCTTATTCGGAATACAAATATTCCTATCTCTAATATTATTCCACTTCACTAATTATATAGAAATGGCTGAAGGTTTATACGAAAGAGGGGTGGTTAATTAGATAATTAGATTTGGTTGTCGTTATCTAAAGGATGACCTCCATCGATTTTATTTCCCGGTGTGAGTGGATAGATAGAACATCAACAGAGAACTGAGCAAGACTATTAAGATGAAATAATACACTACAAGCCCCCTTTAGACAAGAAAATATAAATTTTAATCGATAACAAACTAATAGTCTCAACTTCAATTCAAATAGGTTTATCTTAACAGAGTTTAATTGCAGTGTTCTATTTTGGATTTATTTCATCATGTAACGAGTGTTGAAAAGAGCACAATGTCCACGCCTGATTTGCATCACCTATCGTCGCTTCCTGTCTTGTCACCGTGTATTACACGTCTCCACGCCCTCCATGTGTATACGCTGATCTTCATATTCTTCCTACTCTGAACACTTCATTTCTTTCCGGATTTCCGTCTTGGGACTGTCCCTGTCTGTTCCTGGGAGCTGTTTCTTTGAATAACATGATTACCACTAAATATCTATATGTAACATCTTCTATACGTATATAAAATTCTCACACTCTAGTTACTCAGAAAGCATAAACTAGCTATCCAAACGCTGAATAAATTCTGACGTAATGTGACCTTAATGATTAATGGTCCTTACAAATTAGACTGTATTTCGAGCAAGATGTAATCGTTATCTCTAGTTACAAACACCCTTGTGATATACTTCCAAGTCTGACCTAATTCGATATATCGTTACTACCTAGCGATTGACTATAATTAACACTTGAGCGGGGTATAAAACAATACCGTACTATCTGCTTACGCTACCACGGGACTCCTTAGACATCCAACCTAGTCAATAAGATATATACTATCGATTACTATTGCATAAGATTCACTAACGTCTAGCTCATAGCAACACCTAACCTACTAGATCCTTTTAGCAATACAAATTCATATATAAATATGCAATTATCGTGAAATCACTATAATCAGTATCGTCCTAACAGACGAAAAGGAAATAATTTTTCATACAACCCTAAGAAATCCCACACATTTGTTGTTGCTGTTGTTGTTGTTGTTGTAAGGTTTAATGCCACTTTCAGCACCAGATAGGCTATACATGGCGGCCAGTATTAATGGTGGAGGAAGAACCCTGGAAAACCCAGGGAAAAACCACCGACCCTCGAGAAGCTACTGGCAGGCTTTCTTATTTACCCACGTTAGCCTAGTCTGGACTCCCTCACGCTGATAGAGGTGAGATGGCAGTGATCCGTAACGGTCAGCGCTTTAGACCACTAGGCTACTCGGGGCCCTCTCACACCTTTGAAAAATGGGTCGCCTGCATGCTATCCAGGAATTAGTAACTGTAAGATTACAAAATAAATTGCATAACAACTTTATCGTATCTACCTATTCCCACGAAATCGAATAAACCATACATAGTATGAATGCTAGTCATAAGAAACACATTTGCATAAAAAAGACAAATAAAATAGAAAATTACATGGAAATTAAAATTGCGTACCTTAATGCTGTTCTCTTTCGGACATTGTGCGTCTAAAGTCTCTTTTTTCTTACAAGACAACCACGTTTTCTTTTACTTGTTTTAACGGAGAAAGCCTATTCTATAGGTTTTTCCGAGCCTAATCTTATCTCTCTCGCAGGAACTTTCGGCTAAAGAAATTCGACCAAAGTCGTTACTTTTAAATTCACATTACTTCCAAGGTGTACTCATTAATTTAAATTAATCAATCACAATCAAGTGTTTCTAAACACCCCCCCAAGATAATCGTTTCTTTCGTCAGATTTTATATGCATAGAATCTGAGAAATCCGAAGTATATCAACTTTCCTTTGAATATATGTATTATACATGAGATTTCATTCAAGTGTATATGGTTGGTAGCTCAAACGTTTACATTCTCAGGACAGCGTTGCGATGCCCTGGTCAATTCTCAGTGAGGCGTAGAATCTGCTCTTTACGGTTTAACAATGAAATGAAAAAGTCTAAGTGACCATTCACAAAAATATTTTTGGCCTGACTGCAATACAATTATAGTACACAATGAATTCAATTTTAAGGTTCAAAACTTATTCAAAATTCGACATATTTCAGAAGGATAAACGCACTATACAATTCTTTCATAAAAGCAATACAGTGTATGAACTTTTCTTTCACCTACCATGTTAAGCCAACAAGCAAAGAGTCTTGGTACACTCAAAATATAGTTGCCTATATGCTCACAATATAAATAACAAAGGCCCTAAACCAGAGCCTTGTTGGACAGTGTATTTGTGTGTGTGTGTTTGTATGTGATATAGATTTTTAGCGTAGCTTTAACAATGTTTTGGCCATATTCCTACGATGTTTGCAGTTTGACAGTTTATATTGATCTCTTTCAATGGGACATTATGAGGCAGACTTGTAACATCATGTCCCATCAATCACATTATACTGACACCAGGCCTACCAGTCCTAAAACTAACTTTTTCATGCTGAGCACCAAGTGAGGCAGCTCTTTGTATCATTTCTATAAGTCTTCGGTATGACTCAGCCGGGGTTCGAACCCGCAACCTTCCGCCTCCGAGGCGGACGCTCTATCCACTAGGCCACGGAAGCGATCAGAAAATTTAACGACATTATTTCTTTGGTTTTGGCTGCACTGCTATTAACAATGTATAAAGGGAAGACTTTTGAGCTTTATCAAGTAATTGTTTCCAATAGTCCCCGGAACTTGTATCATTATATCGCGCGTGCTTAGCTATTTTGCGTTTGACATTGACGAGGGAGTGAACACTACGAACAGGCGTTTTTCAAAACCAATCTCTTTCATCCCAGAACGAGGCTTTAACCACTTAGACCACCGGAGCGGTCCGCTCTGTGGTACGCAAGACGCAATATTGTGGTTATTTAATTTAACAATATTTACCAAAACTGTTTGGAGTTTGTTGGTTAGGTTGTCCGAAAACCAATCCATAAGAGAGCTATCAATGCCATTGGACTTAGATTTTTGCATTAGACCTTTATGTAAAAGACGATCAAATGTTTTAGATACATCACAAACGACCACATTCATACGATCCTTTTTATGAAACGCACTATGGTCGGCGATTTTGAAAACAAAAATGATTATTTACGTAATAAAACAGCTTACAAGTGAAATAGTCATGTAATTTGGAAAACCCCTGTCGCTTCATTTTCCATCTACTGTTAGATATTTTATGCTATTCCATACGGCTAAGAACTTTTTGCAACAAGATACATGTTGATGTAATATATTCAGCTCTTTCGACATTGGCAAATACTACATATAACGAACCATTTACACTTATAACCGCATTGGGGTTGAAAACCTCTTTTTGACATGCTGTTGCTCAAGTTCCAATTGTCTAGATTACACCAAAACAATAATATTTTTTAAAGTTACAAATAAATGTTTTCTTTGCTAATTTTTGCTGGTTATTGACTTTATTATATACTGTCGTGTGTTTGTTCTCCAGCGAGTCAGTTTATAGTCATTATTCACAAAGTTTTTCTTGCTGTCGTGCTTGTTTTGTATTCTGCTGTCATAACAACTTTTGTCCCTCAGCCTAACGGATATTATGCGAAATGGAATGCAATCTTTAATAAAGTGAATATAGCACAAAGTAAATCTTGTTACGGCATTATTGAAACAATTCCTCATGTTGGCTATCCAGTCTATACCTGTTAAATGATTACGCGTATCGAAATCAGCCTTATTATAAAGTGATACCCCTTTCTCATAACAGGTGGAGGATGAATCATAACGTAGCCGTGTAATGAAATAGGAGACATTCTACTTATTTAGATCGAACAGAGATTATACCAGAATGGAGAACATAAGTGGTTAGATATATAATAATGGGATCTCACAAAGTTGTAGATATTTTACTTTGGTATGCACAGTTATTATATTTTGGGTGTCATTAAGCATCGTCACCTCTATGACAGTTTTTATTTCAACATTGAATAAAAATCAAGCTAAATCACCCAGAAGTACCACACACACACACACACACACACACACACACACACACACACACAAAGAGGTGACCTAACTACTACTAACGTTTGGTACACTTTTAAAATCCGCGATATTTATCAACAACATATGATATATAAAAAGTCCAGAATAGCATTTAAAATAACAGTTTCTGAGGCAATTTGGACTCAGTTAACATTTCAAAATCAGACACGTGATAATCTTGTCCTGGAATTTATGAAAAACAATTATATGAACGTTCATGCCGAAGAATTTCCCTGAGACAGCTTGCTGGTGTTTACCGCGGCCGTGTTGTTACCATATGTAAATTTGCAAGAATGCAGTTGCTTGTCATTGAATATACTTAGTTGTATTGAATTGTTTTTGCTGAAAAATATCAGAACTCTTGTATCCTGATGATTTAGGAACCGCATTTAATATTTGACAGAATTCATGAAGCAATTATGCTTGAAAAGCTACCACACACTTTGCATGAAAATCCTTCAAAGCAAGTATAAATTTATTGTCTTGAGGATTGCTGTCGCTGGAGACTTACATTCAGCAATGATACTACTATAATTTCTATGATGAATAAAGGCTGTCAGATTCCTGGAAATATTGCATTCCCATACGGCAATTGAATGTCAAAAGTTATAAATTTGACATATCATCTTTTTTTTTTAACGAACTTGTGATCATCTTTTGAATACGCGCTCATTACCGCGGACGTGTGGCTTATTTATTCTGTTACCAATTATAAGCTATAGTAGGGAATCCATACGTTGTAGAAAACGTACTCTTATGCGAACGGACTTTAGAAATCAACCCGTCTTCACAAAATGATTGTGCTTGCTGTGGACTGGCTTCTAACCCTACACATATGATCAAACAATTAAAAATTGTAAAAATAATGACTTTCAGATGTAGAAGCAATACCACAGGATTATGTTTGAGCCAATAAGAAAAATCTTTCAACTAATTGTTTTATGTTCTCTCCATATTTTCCTGAGTTTAGTATAACCAAAATTTATCGCTATTTCTTTTATTATAACGACAACATATTACATCTTTATTTGAAAAGTGTGGACAAACTTAGAAAATCGTTCAGTAGACAAATATTATAATCGAAACTGGCGAATAGAAGAATTCTAACATTTATCCATATGTATGCATGCATGTATGCATGCATGCATGCATTGATGGATGGATGGATGTGTGTGTGTGTGTGTGTGTTATCTGGATGTTCATTCTCTTGTGTCTTTCCTACCATCGATTCTTTTATTCTTTGAATTGAATTTCTTGGAATCGGAGACGTAGCGAGGGTGTGACAAGACACCGCACGTGCCGTAGGCGCCACTTGAAAGGGTAGGGGTAGGGAGCAAAATCGGTTGGCGGAACGGTTTTTGTACTTTCAAAGCTTCGATACAAGCTAATTTTAGTACTCGCCGTTGGCGCCACTTTGATAGTGGAGGAATTTTATTTCTTGCCGTGGACGCAACATGTCCTAGCTACGCCTCTGCTTGGAGTTCCTTGTTGCAGACAATATTTTAATGTTGCGCATCTTGATGAGGAAGGAAACCGTAGTGATCATGGATACATTTATTAGTCCTAATTAGATCTCGGATACATTTTTCAGCCATCATTAGATCTCTGATACATTTATCAGCCATCATTAGATCACGGATACATTTATGAGTCATCATTAGATCACGGATACATTTATGAGCCATCATTAGATCACGGATACATTTATGAGCCATCATTAGATCACGGTTACATTTGTTAGTCTTCATTAGATCAAGGATACATTTATCGGCCATCATTAGATCACGGATACATTTGTTAGTCTGCATTAGATCTCTGCTACATTTAATATATCACGGATACTTGTGTTAGTCTTCTTTTTCCAAATCAATCATTTATGTCACTAATTTTTACACCAGACTGCATTTATGAAACATTAATTCACTATTACTTTCAGAAAGTGCCGATAAAGGTGCCTAGCTGATAATATGCATGTGATTTAGATACTCCAAGCGGAGTACTCATTTTAGATTAAGTTTATAAAACCATTGTAATCATTTCCTTTTTTCCTTTCTATTGCAAGCTGATATATATATATATATATATATATATATATATATATATATATATATATATATATATATATATATATATATATATATATATATATATATATATATATATATATCGTCTGGCTTCCGATGAGCACAATCAGACGTACCAATTCAAAGATGAACAATGAAAATCTTATTGGCTGCTTGAGAAAAGAAACTGAAGTTTTATACAGAGAATATTATTGATGAAAAAATTATGCGAACACTGCGCATTCAGAACACAAGTGAGCGAGAATATTTCTGGCGTTTATCTAAATATGAATGAAGGAATCCTTATTGTACACCATGAGGATATAAAAGGAACTAGAAGATTGCAGTACAAAAGCTGATATCTATGATATTTTGCGCCCAGGGACGAACTATAAAATTGGCGCCCCAGCCCCCTCCCCGTTTAATCACATTTTTCTATTTTACTTATTATAATGTAACGTTGTAAGCCTCAGTTTGGCGCCCTGTACCTTGGCGTCCGGGGACATATGTACCCCCCTGCCCAACCCTAGCTACGCCTCTGTATCATGGTGATCTACTCAACGTTTCTCGTGAATTTTTTCTACAGGGAAGCAACAGTTGTGACCCACAGGAGATAAAATTCATTATGTGATCATTGCTAATAAGAGTTAGTAAGCCTCGGGACATCCTTGCCAGAAGAGTACTGGCAAAATCAATTTCAGACGAGGATTATATGTACATGCAAAAGTGTACTCTGAATCGATCAATGATATGATTGCTTGCCATTATGTAAATTCTGACCAGAGGGTGCATGGCTACCATATGACTCTATTATTAATCGTTGTACAAAAACTATCTTTCATAAAAAATTTCCATATACATACTTACATATTCTATAAGCGCTATATTTTTCACATTGTATTTGAAATGAGATAAACTAGGCTGTCTTTATTTAATTTGTGATATATATATATATATATATATATATATATATATATATATATATATATATATATATATATATATATATATATATATATATATATATATATATATATATATATATATATATATATATATATATATATATATATATATATATATATATATATATATATATATATATATATATATATATACATATATATATAATGTAGTATTTTGCATTCAGAAATAGTAAGCTGATTATATATACAACTTTAGTCTAAGTATTAATTCTAATTATAAAGATTATCTTGATGCTTTGGAGTTCCAAATAATGTGTTTCACCACTATTATTTTTTATCCATTATAAGGTGTCATTCAAACAAATCTTTGTTACCTGATAATTCATAAAAATGCGAGGCATTGTATCGTCATACAACCCTTAGCAAGAAAAGAGTTCATTTAAATAAAATTAATTGGTCTGAGATATACTTTCGTAAGCACAAGTCTATGTATTATGTTAAATTGCAACCAATTAAGTATTTGGAGATTTCGTAGTTTTATATATTGCAATAGGAAATATGGCTGCCAGGTTTTTTTTTATA